GTGTCACCTGGTCTCGTCAGGCTCAGGATCGATCGAAATGGAGAAGTTGCCAACTGCATCGATGGCGTGACATCAGAGATCGATGAACCAACAGCTGTTCAAGGTATTCAAGGTATTCAAGTCTACAAAGTGCACATATTCTACACTAGTTATAACACCAGTCCAAATTTTAACCTTAGCTCACAGGTAAGTTTTTTGTCCCCGGTGGAGTTAAAATGAAGTCTCAAAGACTATAAAGTTATGGTATTTTAACCTGACTGAACCCTTAAGATACTAGGTAAAGTCGAATTCAGGCTGCTATGCGTACGGCCCCAGTTAAACTTTTTGGCGGCAAAATGACTAATGTGCGAGCCAGGAAAGCTGAGAGGCTGAAATTTTAAGGGAATGTTCCCAGCTCACGTGCAACTTTAAAAAATTCCAAATTGAGGCCCCGGAAGTGCATAATGCCCTTAACCCCCGCTCCCGGTTTCCCTCATTATGCAACGAGTAAAATTCCGAAAAGTTATCGCATTTTAACCTGTTTGAACCCTTAAGATACTAGGCAACGTTGAATTCAGGCTGCTATGCGTATGGCTCCAGCTAAACTTTTTTGGCGGCAAAATGACTAATGTGCGAACCAGGAAAGCTGAGAGGCTGAAATTTTAAGGGGATGTTCCCAGCTCACGTGCAACTTAAGAAAAATTCCAAATTGAGGCCCCGGAAGTGCGTAATGCCCGTAACTCCCGCCACCCCTTCTCCCGCTCCCGGTTTCTTCCATTACGCAAGGAGTAAAATCTCGAAAAGAGAATCATAAAAAGAAAAGGATAATAACAGCATAAGAATAAAAAATAACATTTTTGTACATAAAAACTCACGATATCTTCGAATGGATGATGAGTATACGCATGGCTTGGCGGTGGTTCATCGAAGGTGCCAAATTTATCGTAACGTTCCCTTTTCAACGGATCCGATAAAATCTAAAAAAGGAAAAATCGCCAAAAGATAATTTTGAACATATGCAATGTAAAACCCGTCTTTTCAGGAATAGTT